AAAATACAGATAAACAAGTGGTTTTCTTCACCCCTTAAGTTATGCCTTTTTCTTTATGCTGATATGTGACCTATCCCAATCTGAACTCCATGAAGCCACCAAGCCATTTAGTGGTTCAACAAATAAACATGTCAGCACTCTTGCTGAAAGGTCTCTTTTTTCTAGACTCTGTCCCTTTTTTTCTCTCCCTCTCCTCCTTTGAGGATTTTATTTCTCTGAGTGACCTTTTATTATTCACAGGAATAATTGGTGACAAACCCTACTTTGTAGTTTAACATGGCATCTGTCTGCTGGCTCAGCTGGGCACTGCCAAGATCGCAGCACAGGGACATACTTTGGCTTTCATTTTTAATGACAAGTCATATGTAGCTGAAAGAAAGCAGACTCTCTGAGAAGCAGCAGGAATCCCTGTGGTTCAACTCAAGTGAAAACAGTTGCTCTAATAAATTGCCTCCTTGGCCTCTTCGAGACCAAATGGGCTGATTTAGTGATGATCCAGGATTTATGTGGTTGGAGCTGGCCTGTTTCCTTCCAATCCAAACAGGGCAGGACACACTCTGGTGAGCAACAGAGCAGCCAGTAGATCTGAGATGGCAGCACCCTCCAGCAGGCAGAGAGGGACAAACTGAGAGCAGTAACATGTCCTTTTGGCACATGCGTGCAACCTTCCTTGGCTCTAAAAAGGACTAAAAATGCTCTCAAAAGCAACCCGCCTCAGTGGAAGAGGATAATAAGTCTTAAGCTGCTCCAGCTGCCATGCAGGCGAACATTTGACTATGCCCTAACCTTTCATAGCAGGTATAAATGACTGTCGTGTGAGAAATGAAGAGGGCTTGATTTAGTATGATTCAACCACTGCAGGAGTTTTTCCTGGTGAATACCCATTAGTGCTTTATCTACCTTTTCCTCCGAGGAGAGACAAATCTTTGCTCTAAAGGTGTTCTCTGATTCAGCTCATCTTATGCTACAACCTGCCCCTTCATTGCACCAGTTTCTTTTGCAAGAGGATGAAGACTGACGGGTTTCAGATGGATACAGACTACCCCGGTATTAATAGTTGTCTGGTACAGGGCTCAGAGTTGTTTAACAGCACAGCTATGGACTCTATATGCTGAAAACACAGAGCTCTTAGTAACTCTTGTTTAGTAACTCTTGTTACTAAACAAACAGCAAAATTGAGACCCTAAGTCTGTGGTTTCTGGGTATTTTTGCATTTGCGAATGACTTGCGGGCCCCTTGTGTAGAAAGTTCACATACTTTGGTAGCTGAATTGCACCGCAAGGTTTGCTTTCTTTCTCCAGGTCCTACAGAAGTAGAGCAGAAACCTAAAGGGGTTGGCAGATTGGGAAAGGTGGAGCAAGCCCCCTAGAGATGAGTGTCCTGCCCCAGGCCACTGCTACCTAATGCAGAGGCGCTTCCCCCTGGTGACAGTGCTGACCTCAAAGAACTGTGATTCAGGAACAAACTTGTGTGTTAAGAGCAATGAATGGGTGTGCACAGCAGTTTTCCAGATCCCTCACCAGTACCTCTATTTTTCACCCATATTCTGCACTTTCACTGCCACCTACATCACCTGGAACTGGGCATCTGCCTCTTACACTTAAATTTCATCCTTCCTGTCTTGGCAACATCCATTCCTTTCTCTCCTGGCTGATGCTGGTGAGCTGAGAGCCCAGATTCCTTCCTGTTATCTGCACCTTGATTTCTCTCCCAAGTCTGCATAGATATGTCTCTTAAGGAAAGAGACTGTTAGCTCAGCTTCATTCCTGTTGTATTGTCCGGTCCTCTTTATTGTTAAACTCCTGTCATCCATCAAACCCTATTCACAGTTGAAATCAACAGCAAATAAAAGGAAACAAATAAGTCAGCACAGTGCTGCACAGAAGTAGAGCTAGAATGCACAGAGATGGATGAAAAGCCACTGAGCCCCTACAGTGCTGATGGAGCTGCCCCACAGCTGTTCTGGTTGAGTTACTTCATCACTGCCGTACAGATGATGATAGATGTAAAACTTCATCTGAGCTAATGGCAGCATGAACTGGTACTGTGTGCAGCCATTACAAAGTGTCCAAACATGGGAACATGCCTGAGATTTTTTTTTTTTTTTTAATCTCGGGGTGATTATAAAGTTGCCACGTCCTTCATGCAAATCACGTCATAGGTCCAGGCTGTGGCAGATACAGGCTGTCACCAAATACGGAGTTGGGAGATGAAGTCTACTCAAGCTTATGGTATTTATAAGTTTGTGAGGTTTGGGGGAAATCTATCCTTTTCTTAGGTGTGTTAATTTCTAAGCCTTGGACTTTCATGGTGTTTTTTTCTCGTGAAGTACATATATTACTGCTGTAATGCTCTCTTGTTAATCTTTCCGATCTCGCCACATCGATAGGGAATGTCACTTACAGGTGGTCACCCTAAGTCAATACCAGTGCTTAGCTATGCAGAACACTAGCTGTGGCACAGGTGTGAAATTAGGCATCCCATATCTCCATTTAGCATCCTAGTCACCAGACTGTCCTTTCTTGGTGGGCCTAGGCTGCATGTACATCAGCACTTGGGCAGACAACAGTAGTATGGCTTTTAGTGAACTCTTTCCTCAACCACACTTGCAAGTGATTTAGGCATGGAGGGACTCACGCTATGTGGTGAGACTGTTGAGTTGCAGGCAAGAGTCCTTTTGGAGGAAACCAAACCAGAAATGCTTCTGCAGGGTCACTTGAAATACTTTTCAAACCCCCGTGGAAACACAAATATTCAAATCGGGTATTACTCTTTCTGACTCTGTGGTAACATTCAGTCCAGGGAATCAGACTAAATCTAGTCTGACGTTAAGTCCTGGAAGTACAACATAGATCTAGAGATGTCAGCTCCCATCCTCTGATCCACTCCTACTGCACAGCTATTTGCTAATGCAAACAGAGGCATCCACATAAGGACAACATGCTGAAGGCTTCACTGTTCCAAACATACCACAGAAAAAGATGCACAGGGGCAGGGGGCCTGAGTATGAAAGGATGCTTTTGTGAAATGGCAAAGAAAAGGCACACAGCTCTACTTTATATCTGTATTTGAATATCAGGAGAGCACGTAGGTATCAGTAGACAATCAGAGACCCACTATACTAAAATGCTCTACAGACATATAACGAGGAAGGTCCTTTTGGCCTGAGATTAGCATGAACAAAGCTATCCAAGTCAGCTGGAAAGAAAGAAAAAAAAACCCAACAGAATAAAGAAATCAGGACAGAATAAACTAGATGCCTTTTCTGCAGCACCACTTCCAAAGCAGCAATGCTCTAGGGGAACCCCAGCAGAGACGAATGCAAAGGAGGGATCAATCCTGTGGTAAAGTCACAGGATTAGACTTCTGCCTTTGTGGACTTTCACCGAGTGCTGAGAGCACAACAAGAAAAAAAACATCCCAGTTTCATTATTACGCACTTGCACTGGTTTTAATGCAATCTTTAAGCTTTGCTGGGGGCTACCTATTACTACATGGACACCATAGCATGTTGGAAGCGGAGGGGTCAGCTCCAAAGAACCCGTGCTGGAAAAGGTTAATAGCGCCTACAGGATTTTTGGCACAGAAGTTGCACTGTCATTTCTTAATATTCTTCCCCCAGAGCAAACGATGTCTTCATGTATCTGTAGGCAGACTAGAGCTCTGGCTAGCACTGTCAGCATGTGCCACTGTGCGCTGGAACAACAAACAAGCAAAGGGCATCTCTGATGCACAGATCCTTTTGCACAAGCGATCCTAACACAGCTGTGGAGTACACACAACCAGCAGCGGGTTTGAAGAGACACACTCAAGGTTACAGAGTGAAGTAGCAGCAAAGAGCATGAGTAACTGTCCTTGTATTGACCAAAGACTGCAAAGCCATTTCAAGCCGTATTATTACATGAGCCATATTTCAAATTTAGTAGGTGCCCACAGTGCCGTGGCAGCACGAGGAACATTACTGAATGTATTCTCAGTGTGAATGTGTACATCCAACAGTGCTACTGGAGATGATACATAAATCCTTACCCATCCTTACCCTGTACAGAGGAGATCATGTAAACCCTGAAATTCAGTTTCACAGTTTAGAAAATATTCACCAATTTAATCTGACTCTAATCCGCCATTATTTATTGTAATTATTGTCATTGCTATGGAAATTCCAAAAGCAATCAAACAGCTGTCCTGCGGCTAGCTATGCTTAAGCAAAATTGCTCCTGGGGGTGAAAATCAACAGATATGTTCTTACCTTCTTCCTGGTTTAAGCTTGATGTAGAAATAAAACTGCAGAGGTTCTTCTCCCAGAGAGGACTGACAGGCACTATGCCCTGTGGGCTGCACCTGTACCTGACCTCACCCCAAAAGCAGTGGTGACCACTGCCTGGCTGAGGACCAGTGTTCACTAATGAGGTGCTCTTAGTTAGGGTCCTAGATGCTCTTAGTTACCCTTCCCTTGGGATGCACAGAAGTTCTGAAAAGTCCTCTGGCTTCTCCCCAAGATGGGACGAGATCATCCCAGGGATGGTGTGAGCATGGGCACAACTTCAGCACAGCAACACAGGCAAGCACAGAGCAAACAGTGTCCAAGGGGGTCTCCTGGGGGCGGCAAGGCTGGACCTGGCAGCCAGGGCCATTCCACCACCCCATCAGGGACCAGGGCAGCTCCAGCCCCAGCAATGGGTACCACGGTGGGGACAAGGATGGCTGCTGTGGGGGCTGAAATTGAACATGTCCTTCCTGAGCCATGGTGGGCTCTGTCAACCTGCTTAGCATTTTCTCCCAGTGGTGGATGCCTCTCCACAGCATGCAGACCTGTCTCCTGCTGGCAAAGATATTTTTCAGTCATTGTTTTTGTACCCTTTCTGCTTTCTTTAACAATGCTGACAAGATACCAGGCTGGTGACAGAGCTGGGCTGGTAGAAATGGGTCCAAGCAAAGCAAAGCAACATCTTGGCCATGCGTATTGTCCCATGGGCAATAAAATGTCTCTGGTTTTGTAGGCGCAGGAGGATCGGATATGCTGCCGAGGGACCCGCCGGGACCGTGCTCCTGTGAAAGTCCCGAAGCTGAGGAGGGTGCAGGGGTAAGTCTCCTCCCACCACATCCTTGTGGGAAGCAAAGGCATCCGCGCTGCGCTCAAACATAATGCTTGATGGCACCCCGCGCTTGGTGGGCCGGGCCACATCTTCAGCTGTGAGGAGGTTATTGTGGTGTCAACTGCATTCCTTTGACTACTGCAAGGTCTCCTCCTAAATACTTGAAAGCCTGGTGGGATTAGGACAACCTTCAATAAAAGTGCACTTCTTGGGAGGTCTTGGGAGGTCTGGCTGCTCACTGTAAGGTGGTGTCAGACTGACACTCGATCCCTCCTCACCATCAGTCAGTCCCCCAGATGTCCTCCATTGCCCCTTCTCTTCTTCTCAGGCCCCTCTGTTGTTACTCCTACCCCACCTCCTTTCATCTGCTGGAACCCTGTGTGCGAGCATCCCATCAGCAGGAGGAGGGCAAGCATCTGAGAAGCATTGCCCTCACCTGATAGCTTGGTGTGGTTGGGTGGCACGTGGAAACACGCCATTTTGCTGGAAAAGATGTCATAGTGATACTCCCTTTTCTTTGTCGTTCTCGGTGTGATCGTGTGCAGCCACGTGTTCTTAGGAACAGCAAATGAACTTGTCAGTAAGATGTTGGGAGTGGAAAGGGAGTGAATGGGCAAGCGAATTCCTGCAGGGCCAAGGCGTTCATCCTCAAGGCTGCTGACACTGCTGTGTGTGAAGCACGTATATCTTAAGACAAAAACAACTAGATTAAAAACTAATGGCCTGTCCAACAATTTTTTATCATTAATAGGTCTTTTAAATAAATAAACTTGGACATACATAGCCAATATTAATGCCTAAATTTACTTTAATCTTTTACATTTCTTTAAATTAAAATAGTAATCAAGGCTGTTAAACTGGTTCAGATGAAAGTGATGAAGCAGATTTCAGACTTCTGCTATAAAAACAGAGGAATTTTTTCTTAAATTAGTTAGTTAAATTTATCCCAATATCTTACTCTTCCAGTTCAGTTAGAGAAGCATTTGAAGATAAAAAAGCAGCAAGTCCATATCTTCTTCTAGTCTATGAGTAAAAACTGGTGTGAGAAGCTCAGATCAGCTAGCTTTAAAGTCTTAATAAAGTCTGTATAAACTTTTTTTTTAATTAAGGAAAATGTAAATGTAAAACATGTTTTGAAAACCTTTATTTGGATTTTTCTTATCATATTTACTTGTTTCATTTAACATTTAAGAAAACATTAATATTTTTCTCAAAATCCATGTTTCCCACACTTTTCATTTAAATGCAAATATAATCCAAAAGGGGATGGACCCATCTGATGTTCAAAAAAAACCAGATCTGCTAACAACCAATACAAATTTGACTAAATGTGGTTAACAATGTAGAATGGGCAATATTGCACAGACTTTCATACTCTTGGCTATCAAAAACAATGACCAAATTTAAGGTCAGAGCTATGTAAGGCAACGAATCAACACGTCCTCAAGAGTATCAGTCAGTGAGAATATGCCTTTCTTTAGGCAAATAATTTACAGCGCAAACAACAAAACGTTCAAATTGATAATGCAAAGCAGTCAAACTGAAACTTTCACGTTATGGTTAAATTAGATATTTAAATGGTTCTGATTGCAGCTGGAGCACATATTTGCACAGGCATCCCCGGACATTTTGCGCCGGTTGCTATCAGTGCTCTGCTCAGTGTAGTAACACTTTGTGTCAGCTCCTATATCGCAGGCAGGACCACTGGAAAAGCTCTGAGCTAGGGTTTAATCAGTCCCTAACTTTCTCTGGCTTCAGTTAAGGTCATACTTAAGGAAGAAGGGAAAAAAGATTCCATGTCTGTGGAACACAATTTGTTTTAATAACACAGTACTTCCAACGCTTGGGAGTGTGACACCAGGCAGAACAAAATCTGACTTGGCGTAATTTTCTCCTTGGTTTTAAAAAAGAGGTCTCTGTTTTTTTTTAATAACGACCCCCCGCTGAAGGAGGAGGTTTAATGGCAGAACTTTGTAAGAGGGAGGCTGACTCAGTGCTACCAGTGACGCAGCGTGAGCAGAATCAGCGAAAATGCTAGCACAGGAAAGTAAATAAACTCCATGAAAGTATCCGTAGCATCATGGAAGAAAATTAATTTAGTCATAGCAAATTATGAAGTGATGAAATTTTCTTTAGTAACTTGCTAACAATTTGTGGAAGGGAGAAGCCTGATGTTTGAGACAAAGAGTATACGGAGCAGCTGGATATCGGGTCTTCTGAGCTCGCATTCGCTGAGAGAGACAAACCCAAAAAAATTGTCCTTTGGAACGCTAAACAGTCAAATGGGCAGCATCATTTTCATACCAAAAAAACATCCATTTTAGATTAATTCTGAAAAGAATCTATGCAGAATTAGTTGCCATATTTTTTTAATGATACCAAAAGAAAGTAGATTCTCAATTAACAGAAATCAGGAAATAGAACTCCATGTGTGTGTTATTTAAACAGCCTGCTTACTCCAAGTGGAAACCTGAGCCATCATAACGTTTCTTTCAACTTTAACAAACTATTAAGAAGCAACAAGCTACTCCTAGGCCCAGACTGTGCTCTTGACTGTATGTTTTAAGTCAATGGTAATTGCATAGGTTTAAATAAAGCTTAGAAAACTCTGATATCTAATCGGTAATGACATTCATGGCCAGCAAAGACAGGATCTGGGTCAGTATACAAATGTTACACTTGATCCTAGTCATGAAGCAAAGCAATATTCTCCCTTACAAGAAAGGAAAAATACAGTCCTCCCAAAGAGTCACTCCATGTAACGTGCTCCATGTATTGTTGAACAGGCCAAAGTTTATGAATGATTTTGGAGTTTTTTATGTCTCTTCCTTCTTTTCTAAATAACAAAATGCTGCCTCTTCATTGTTGCTTTTAAAACACATCCTGTTATGCCTGCAGCTGTTTTTGGAGTGCAGGTTCAGCATACCATGTACTCTGCTACTGAGCCTTTCTCGCAGCTTTTGCTCAAAAGGAAGAATGTATATGTGTGTGGGAGTAGCATAAACTGCAGCTGTTTTTCTTTATTTTTCCACCATCATTACTGCTGACTTGTAACAAGGAAGAAGATGTATGTAATACACCATTTGGCTTCTCTGTACCTTTGCTGTACAGGAGGTTGGGATATTATCTTAGTGAGCAACTCCTAATTTCCACATAAAAGAATCAGCACTAGGCTGAAAGAATTTGTCTTGCAGTGAAAAGGTTGCTGCTTTTTTGCGGGAATGTTTTATCAGAGATACAGAACTTCAGTTTGCTCTTTCACGGGTTTTATGAAAGCTTGTGTCACTGAAGAACCTAAGTGAGTCCAGGAAACTCTGGAAAGTTTAATTAATTTCACTGGATAGGTGCTTAAAAATACCCCCAAAAAAGCCCAAACAGCCCTAGGATGCAACCCCTTCCCCTTGTCCCCCTCCTCACCCTGCTGCCATAAGTACACTGTGGCTGAAAACTTCCCAGGCAACTGAAAACAACAGAGACTCTGGTATTTTCAGCTCTCTTGATCAGTTTAAAAGGGAGATGCTCTTTCTGCACGATGCATGTATCTGAAGCGTGTGATGCCAGATAGGAAAAATTCCTGACCATCTTTCAAAGTGTAAAGCCTGCATGGCCTCATCTCCCCTCCTCCCTGACCCCTCAGGCCATCTAAGACGTGTCTTGCCTGCCATGGAGGGGAGATGCTGAAATTCAGAGACATTTATGCACTAAAAATCCAAGGCAAGGCACAAACCAGCTTCACTGTTGTATTCCCTGCAGTTGATGTTTCCCCCAGTTGGCTCCTGCCCGCTCTCATCACTGGTTTTCCCAGGCCGTGGTCTCCATCCCTGGTCCTGGCCACAGCTTGCCTCATGCTGAAGTCAGTGGAGCTGGGCTGGGTCATGGAGAGGAGGATCCACCAGAGCTATTGAGCTGCCTGTCACAGCACACAGCTCAGAGTTCATGCCCAATTTTGGTCTCTGCTAATTGCTCTTGAGCGCACCTTCACATCATGACCAAGGCAGGCAATGTTGGTCAGGGAAGCCAAAGGATCCTCAGGCCTTCACAGCCATCAGAGCCGTTGTGTTTGACCTCTGGCATTGTGGTATTATCTCTGTGGCTCTGCATGGGAACTATCATGTTATCAAAGTAACGTAACAAGACTTCCAAGCTGTGAGGCCTGCATAAAACATGCCCACCTGCCTTCATATCCAAAGACAAATAAGATGGCCTGCTCCGGCAGTATGTGAGGTAGACATTAAAATGCACAGCAGTTTCTTAGTGCAGAGCTCTACGTATTTCCATACAGAATACTGTGTATTTTTAATTAGCAGGCCTACAATCAGTTTGTCTTATCGTCTCATTACATTTTCTTTTTGCATTATTTCACTTCTGACGGCTGGAAAATGCAGTGAAGCTAAAGCCTCGGCTTGCTGATGGGATGGGCAGTCCTTCAGGTTGGCCATGGGTTTAGTCATTAGGCCTGCTCCCTTGCTCATTAAAGAAAGGGATACATCTTTAGGAAACTGTGATACTATTGTTTGATGAGAAAAAAATATATATATTTTTGTCATGAGACAAAGAATTTCTTATTTGAATATTATCCACTTGTCTCTGACTCTCTGAGGATCTTCAGGCAGGCTTGGTTTCCTCAATCATTTCTAGTGTTGCCATCCACCCTGCAGCAAATGACACATCCCAGTTGGAGGCATTAAACACCATTTCAGTACTGCAATGAGCAAACATCCAGCCTTGAATATAGGGAGGGCTCAGTAAGATGTCTTACTGAGTAAGAGAAGTAAGAGAAGGCAGCTCAGCTGCTGAAGATTTGTACTACAATGTGCAGAACTCAGATTAAAAGGTATTAAGAGTTTGCAGGAGCGCTCATTAAGGCTGTAGAATGGTGGAAATGTTAGGAGCATGGCAAGAGGGTCTTTCTGTTCTTCTTCAATGAAGTAGGGATTTCAGTCCCTTCAGGCTGATAGGGTTCCCCAAAGAGAGAAGGATTTCTCTT